AAGCGTGCAAAAAGAGGCATTAACGTTAAATGTTACGTATTTACAAAACCAAGATAGTTCATTATTATTAAAAAACAAGAAAAAATTGAAATTAGCGGGCATTGAAAATTCGGACCGTAAGTGCAACATACACAAATTTAAATTTAACTTCACGACTATTCATGGCCACTTGATAGAAAGTGTGCACGTTTATTACGTGATGGACCAAAAATGCTATCATCGGCAGATTTGTCAAATATGCCTCGCACAACCGCCTGGTTCCAAATGAATTATTAACGTTCGCTTTTAACGGCGGTTCCTGGCTTTTTTTTGTTTTTAAGTCCGTTATTAACAGCTGTTTTTTTTGTTTCTGAATGTTCTCATACAATTCTTCGTATCGAGCTATGCAACACTTAAGATTACGTCGACAGTTTAATGCACGCTCCATTTCAAATTCGGATAATCTCTGTAGTAGATAATAAAGTGAACAGAAATTTTCTTTCAGATTCTTGCTAGAGCAAACTATTCGCGTTCTCCAATTAACTCCAATAAAAAACTGTAATTTGGAATTAACCACATATACCTACAGCCATACACAGGAAATGAAGCTACTTAGAATTCTATTCGTTCTTGATCATTTTTTCCCCGAAAGATAGACTTAACGAATTTCCCTTGAACTGAATGTAGTCCCACACCATTTGTTTGACGCAACTTCCTGGGATTATTTTTCAATTTGGTACCACTTTATGGAATTATTTTTCAGTTTCATTTCAGTTTGACACAACTTCCTCTGGTTTTAGCATATTAAGTTCGAGCAGATATATGCTAATTCATTATACCAGTGACTTGAACCAATTTAAGGTTTTCTTTCTATCTACTTTTCTACTGTTGTGGCTTCAAATATTAGCGCGATGGAGATCAATTCGGTCAATGGTTTGACTTAGAAATTTACTGTACTGAATATGTATTACATAGATATATTTCTCGTATCCCTTCTCTTGTAAGGACTTCCATAAGAAAAAAGGCTTTATATCGCAACACGCTATAATTTCTGATATTTTATGACAACAATAAAAGAACAGTAAATCGTCTGATAAGAAAATTAACTTTACCATATTTGGACCGTAAGCATTTACATTTAACATTACGTAGCTTATGACGCAGTAGTGTTGGTCCAGCTTGTTGGCAATAACGTTTAATTGGTTATATTTGTTATATAAGGATATATTAAGTTTGGACGCATGTGTGCAACAGCTGAAAGAACTTGAGGTAGACCCACGTTGTTATGCTGATCGGATCAGAATCATTTTCTGAATCGATTTACGCTTGTCTGTCCGTCTTGTTTTTTGTATTTAACCTACTGGTCGGAATTTTTCGGATAGCTTGATGAAATATAGTGTAGTGATGTCTTTTTGCCCAAGGACGAACGCTGATAAAAATGATTCGGATCGGAACACTTTTTCAATCACTTCCCGTGTAGCACTTTATTTTGGAAGCTCGTTATATGAAATAATTATGTATTAAGGGAAGTTGTATAGGGTATTTAATGATGAACCGTGGTCCGCTATAACGCTTTTAGTTGTTATTTCCAAGAAATGATGTACGTAGATTTGAACATTACAAACAGAGATAAATACAATATTTTTACCGGGGTTGTTAGTCACGACAACTGTTGCATTTTGTCGGCAGATCCTGAAGATCCTGACA